TTAAAAAAAATACCAGCAAATAAATTTAAAAAAAAAAAAAAAAAAAAAGCCCAAACTAGGGGGATCTTATTTTAATCAGATTGGTGTGATCTGTAATAAGTGGTATAACATTTTCGTGTGAAAAGTGTAAAAATCTGTAAAAAAGTAAACTTACTTTATATGCCACAAATCCACAGATTTGAAAATAGTAACTAATTTGATTCGTATAGACGGATTTCCATATCTTATATTGCAGGTGCCATGCAACAAACATATATCACATGCAATATATACATCAATATAATACAGCTATATGTGACCAACATTGATATGCAAATTTTATATCACGTTGGTAGGGATGTTTTGTCTGTGAACTATACTGTGTGTTAAAATATGTTTCCATGTTGACTAGTACTATAGGAATCGTCTTTTAAACACAAGCCTCTAAAATGTTCGTTCAGTTCCCCCAACTTAAGTTAACAGTGGCTTAGCACCAAAGTATGGATATAGCCTTGAAAGCTGTCATTTTCCATATTCCAAATTCTTGGTTTTACAAATTCCGCAACTCCGTGTAGAGTTATCACTTTCCAACTTTATTTACTTTCCAACTGCTCCCACCCTTTGTATAATTGGGAAGCGACTCAACTTAACACACTTTCTAATTACTTCATCCTAGTTTCGGTTGTAGTTTGCAGGGTCGACCCATCTTTCGAAATTTACTTGTGAACTTGGCGATCTATACACACAATGCGAACTCTATAATTGAATTGAACTACTTACATATCATACCTACAAATTATATCATATCAATAATTTCGTGACTAACCCTTCCGTGATGGGTACATAGACTTTCTACCGAAAACATTGTACTTGTATTTACTATGAACACAGCGGTCGTTGTAGCAGCGGGGAAGTTTAATATAAAAAACTACGTGATATATGTGTAGGCAATTGAACAAACCTGCGAACATGTTTGTGATTCTCCACATCCAATCACTAGACACTGTAACAGTACTGCTAAACAAAACAGTATACTCCATTGTGCCATACTTTGCTTGTGAATTTATCTGCAATAAAAATCATCCGATAACAATATACAACAATATGTTACTTTTATAAATCAGTGCATACTAGTGGCATGAGATTTACGTGAAATTTGTATAAATACTTTATTAATTACTATGATTATATTATTAGAAATAGCCTTTATGACTGACCCATAAACGCCTTGGGGTACTGTAGATCTATAACGCCAATAACTACACCTAGCCATTCAATGGTGTGAATGAAAGTGTACAAAACAGTTCTCTGATATTAAAGTACTTATTCAAACTATGTAAGGCATAACATAGAAGACACAAGACAAATGCACTTGAAAATTTTTCATAAGCTTCTGAAATGCAACTTCTGAAAACAAGTAGTCAGAAAAAATGGAATAAAGGATGGATGGGCAGGCTTTTCTTAAAGAATCTGAAAAAAGAAGGGAACTCAATAGTGAGTTTTAAAAATGTCTGCCTATACAAATTATTGGGAGGCCAGCAAGAAAGACAATCTTCTAGAAGGTTGCTGGCTCATGGTAAATGTGTGGCTTTTAGATCAAACTCAAAGTGACTTCTGAGAACCATAACTACCATGCTGCTGAAACAATTATCACAACCTCTATCCATACACTAACTGTGCTCATGTCACTGAGTACGTCATTTTACTTGCCCTGCCAGGAATGACCCCATAGGCGGGCAGTAACAACAGAAGTAAATATCTCCAAACAATGGATAGGAACCTCTGAACAGAATAGAAATCGGCAATGAAAAACTCAATTCTCCGTATTGTATCCGCAGCACAAATACTATGACGTCTAACCGAGTCATTGCATTGCCTGATAAAAACGTCATGTGCATGACATTGCAGAACTGAGAATTAGGGTAAACATAATGATGAGATGTAGAGACTGGTCACAAGCATTAGTTTGGTAGCATATTGTAGCATAGTTGGAACAGTAATCTACATAGAAACTATGGTATACTGTGTAGGTTGTACATCGACGTTGTTTAGAGTATAAGAAGCATAACTTGGAGATAATTTCTTCCAAAAGTTCTTTTAGTTGTATTCTCATTGTGCTATGGAAACCCCTACTAAATCGCAAATTTATGCATATTATTAGTTTTTCTCAAAAATAGATTGATAATAAACAAAACATGTCACCATACTGATGAATGGTACTAAAATGCTGATTGGCCTTGGTACGAAAGTAGTTAAATTATGACCACTTGATAATGATTGCACCTTCTAAGCCGTGACCATGATTTAACATATTACTTCTGTCGTTTAACGTGAATATCATTTTTAAAAGTCAATGTACAAAATATGAAATGTTGTTCTCAACAAACCCTATCATTATCCTAAGTACGTACTCTTTAGAGGCGATTTATTGTTCATGGTCGGAGCCACAGCCGAGATGATGGATATGTTACTGTTATCGCAGCATAAAGATGAGAGCATGCTGAGTCCTATCATTCCCAAGAGGAAAAGAGCCACAATGTGATAGGGGCGACACAAATCCAATTAAGACTGTTATGGCAAGTTACGTTTATTTTTTTTTTAAATATGAAAACCGACACACTGAAATGAACAGATTCTGTCCTGAATGAATGTCACCAGGTTCAAATCCGGGGTCTAAATATGAGTTAATTTTCACAGAGAAACATTGTCGATGCACAGAACAGGATGAAAAACATGCAAAATGTAAGAATTGTCTAGTAAACAAACGAGATCGACTGTGGCTATAAACTACCTTATCTTACTTAAAGCTATTGTCACGCGATTTATTACACGCAATATATTTTTAAATGAAAGAAAGAAAAAGGAAAATTACTATAAAATACCGTTATGTAATTTAAGGCTTGAGAGTGTGTCCCCTGCAGTAAATATGGATATCCTCTGGAAAATGTTATGACATTTTCACATATCGTATATCGTATTAGCTGATAAAATTGCTGACTTGGCCATTATTGTGATAAGAGTAATAAATGGCGATACTAAATGGAGTAAATATCGGCAAAGAGTCAGCTCAATATTTGACCTGTATAACCTGTTAGAACATCATTAATTATTGTCCAGCTAAAATATCTGTTTCTACCAGTCAGATTGTTTGTTTAATCTTGTGGCCAAATTGCCGCATGAAAAGAAATTATAAATATTTTAACCTAATATAGTGCTTCATGAAATATAAATATGCTGAGTCATGAAGTAGGTCAAGGTAAAGAAGGAAGCGACAGAAGCTGAAAGTCAACGCCACATTTATAAAAGTTAAACGTGTCGAGTTCAGATGCAAATTCTGTAAAATATACATACGTGGACACCGTATTCTGAGGGAAGAGTGAGGAAGATGTCGTAACAGATACGTACCCCATTGACTCGCTGCAGCCGTGGCCTACAGTGCAAAGTCTACTGTTCTACTTTTCTCACGTGATATACCTTGTAGGTACCATTGGTTATACTTTATTGTGCACTCAGGTTGTTAATGTGCAGAAGGTCATATCCGAAGTCCTATGTCCACACGCGATTGTATTCATATATTATTTATTCTCAATATAGTAAATTGTCACGTAAAATAGGAATTCATTCTACTTTCGTATCCCCACATTTTTATTTGGGGTGCCTTTAAGAGGGGACATGAAACTATTTGCTATTCCATGTCAACAGGAAACTAGTTCGATTTTATATATATAGGGAAAGTACACCTCAAAATGAGACTGTATGTAGCTTAGAAAATATGTGCATTCTAAAATACAAGAGCCCTACATACACAAACAGTCTATTGGAATTAGGACGATACTCTTGAAAACTAGGACGAATCTGTAAAAAAAACTTGTACGATGACTACATTATAGAACATCATTGGGGTGAATGCGAATGCAACAATTGTCGTCATATACTATTTGTAAACCAAATCCCCCCAAAATAATTAAATAAATTGCACCTTGAATTAAAAAACAAGCCAAGAACATACTTTATGGAAGTTTGATAAACATTTCTAAATATAAATGTTAATGACAACACAGATACACTACTTTATTTTTGTGACGTGGGAAATATTGTTGTATTACTAATTATTACTAAAGGAATACTCAAAACAACGGAACACGGTCTACACAACGAGTCAACTCAACGTTTCCAGGATTAACATTGCCTCATAACACTATGTACCTAGACATATATAGTCTGGCTAGGTACTTGTGATGCAGTACCTTATATCCCTACACACGATGAAGCTTATAATAACGGTTCATTAAAATATGTGGTATATAACCTTTTAATTAATTACTTTGCAATTAAAAACCTGGTGTTATAATCAGCTACTGTCAGGCGTCAATGGAAATGTGACACGGATTTCTCGCATACATGGGGGTGTCAGCAAAATAGTAGATTCTAGACCCAGGATTGTGCTTTCGTGAAACTTTTATTGGCTGAGTTGCACGACTGAGTTGCACACCGTCAATCATGAAGACAGATACACAGGAGGTTCACATGAAATAAAAACAAAAGCTAAAATAATACATATCCTCCATGAATCGAGATTATTCATATGAATTATTTGCCCACAATCGTTTATTTTTTATTTTAAGTTGCGAATGATATGTTTTTTAGCGCGTGATCGACACTATTGTAGAATAATAAATAAGTCCAAGTATATCCTACGGCCCTCGTTCAAATTCTCATACTCACCTCGATCCGTGATCTAACCGATTTAGCACTGGCCAGAGAAAAGATTCGCATTAGCCAATCAAATGATAACATTTTGACAGCAATCAAACTTGTGAAATAACATTTTAGTACATTATGTTACATTTTGTCAAAATGTTGCAACAATGACTTACGTGCTGCCAGTAGAATCGAGCGTAGCTCAATGTATACTTTGTATCTGATCTTGGTGTTACAAATAAATTGTTGCAATGAAAATCCTTTGTTTTCTTGCGTTTTTTCATCCGCGATCTAAGTGAATTCGTGGTGAAATAGAACCACACTTTATCGCCACTCTGATTGGTCGAGGGTTGCTGGCCATGTGCTAATATGTATCATATCGAACGTTATGTAGTTGTTTAGTGTAGTTGTCAACACTGAGAGTGTAAGAACAATCGTAAAAGTGCAAAAATAACTCCCTCTATGGGACAATGTATTGTAAATTGCAATGTTAACTGTATGTTGTTATGTGTTCAAGACATCGTTGTTGCAAAACACGAGATCTGAGGGATACTATACTGGTACATAGATTGCTGGGAAAGATTGACTGAGCGATGCGTGTTCTGGGAAACTGGCAATGGGTCATCCGATTTAACGGGAAAGTAATTACTAAAGTAGAGGGCGACAATTTATATCTCAAAAGTATGGTGTATTTTAAGTCTAATCGGACCGAAAGTGGAAATGTCTTACTACTCTAAATATCCAAACATATATTAGTAAGGTAGTATAGTATAAACACAGTCCCTCTATCCTGTGAAAATATAAAGTAAATCACAATAGCTATTGACACAAATGTACAGACCAATGCATGTTCTGTTGTATACCTTCACCAGACAGTATATTTTGCAGACTGTGTCATCCAGAAATATTGTGAATGTGTATTCATGGCTTTTGGTCAGTGTTGTTACAACCCTACGCCATGTGACTGCAAGACATCCAGTCTGACCCAACTGGAGCAAGGTTATTGATTTATTACATGTAAAATAGCTCGGCACAAACTCTGGTTCTGGTGTGTGTTCCGGATTCCTTGTGTCTGTGTCCCTTGTCTGACATTGTCAAACCTACCAGGTGCATGATAGAGATGATCTACCAGACCCTGTATTTGACAGTATTGGCAATACACCTTGAATTCAATGCAAACATTTAATACACAATCATAACAAAATTGGGAAAGCACAGGTATGTTCTTCTACATAAATGCCTACACCATGAATAATCTTGATGTGAACAGACATAATTTTAATGATGATGCCTCCCCGTAAATGAAGTAAATAGACCTTTAACATTTAAATACAGAAAACACAACCTAGCTAAGGTAAGAACCTTCAGGGTAAAGGTAAGTACCTGAAAATATCCTGGTAAATCCCTATGGCCAACTGAGTGTGGCAGTAGCATAAGTGTTCTGGTGCACTGAGGAACCAGAGCCCCCATTGGTGTCATCATGCTGACCCACTCCATCATCAGTTTCTGAAGTGTAGGCATTGGCTTACAAATATATACCCCTGATTCTGTTTCAGCATTTGACCAAATTATGGAATACACCAACTGTGGCGACTACCTCAGTCCCTCAAATTTAGAGTTGTCTCTAACTGCGACCTGCCTACATTTACAGTACACCCCTAGCAATCTCAGGAATGACAAGTGTTCATCTAGAGTATCCCTCAGTTGATGATGGAGAAACCAGTCGTTTATGTACATGTATAACAAGATTTCCAGAATGTGGAGCAAAGGTCAAACTCAGAAGTACTCAAAATAATTTTGCAACACAAATTGGTGTACAAGTTCACCCAGAAGTACAGTCTGCACAACTGTAACTGATAGGGCAATGATCAAACTGCTTTGACTTACCGTGATGTAATACAGGAATTTTTGGAATTCTGTTTTCAATTCTATATTCCCTGAAAATATTGTACTTGTTTGCCAATGAAAGCCATCTATTTTTTTAATGTGAACAAAAAATGTGTTTTGCAACATTAAACTGGAGATTACCCAAGAACATCTATGAACCAAATTTCAATGAAATGTGATGATTATGCAATTAGTATGAGGGGCGTTCAATAAGTAATGCCCCTGACCCCTTTCCCATAGCAGGAGATTAATGAAACAGTTATTAGTCTTACTGTACATAGGAACCACCCAGAGTTATGCATTTCTCCCATAGTTTGAATGCAGCTCTGGACGCCGTTTTTGTAGAACACTTAAGGTTGGTCCTCCAACCACGTCGTAACTTCAGAAATCAAGGCTGCATCATCTGGGAAATGCTTTCTTTTCAAAAACAACTTCATGGCTGGGAAGAGATGAAAGTCAGAGGGTGCAAGGTCAGGAGAGTAAGGGGATGGGGAAGGATTTCATAGCCGTGCTTCTGATCTGGCGACATGCGAAATGTGAACCAGAGGGTTGTCCTGCAGGAGGAGGATACCTTTGCTGGTCTTGCCCTGCGTGTGACGACTGTGAGCATGACCTTGCCAGCGGAGGGCAACACTCTTGCCTTCTTTGGAGGTGGTGAGTCCAAGTGCATCCACTGCATTGACTGGGCTTTGGTTTCTGGATCATAGTGATGGACCCATGTTTCATCCTGTGTAATCAGTCTTTTGAAACACTTTGACTCATCTTCTTGGCACATCTCTAAATTCATTCTTGAGTACTCAGCGCATTCTTGCTTCTGGAAAGATGTGAGCAACCTGGGAGTCCATCTGGCAGACACCTTATACATATGCAAATGTCATGAATGATAGTTACCACAGACCCTGTACTAATCTTGATCTCTTGGGCTATTTGGCGAACAGTAATGCATCAATCTTCCAAAATGGCTGCCTCAATATGACAAACAGATGCCTCATCATTGGCAGAAGAGGGAGGACCAGGACTGGAAGCTGTTTCCACAGACTTCCGGCCATGTTTGAATTCATGATGTCAGCATTTTACAAGGTCATATGATGGGGCATCATCACCATAAATTTCTTTCATTTCATCAAGAGTATTATTGAATGCTCAAATTTTAATACAAAACTATTCAGTACTGTACCAAGTGGGTTTTTTTGAGATATAGATGGAAAATTTGGTAATTATTAAGCAAATTAAGCAATTATTATGCACAAATTTCAATCCAATACTAATTATGTCTGTGTATTGTTCCATGGTATATATGTACCAAATTTCATTATAATGTGATGATTAATTTATAAATAAATCAGTGGAAAGCAAATTAGGTAATTATTATGGATGTATATAAACTCAAAAATAATTAGATCGTCATTGTCTAAGAAATTCATTTAAATAAGATTAAAAGTACCTGAAATGTTGATAGAATTGCTGAAAACACTGAGCATCTATGTACCAAGAAATGATCATTAAAATCATATCATTGAAATGTGATTAGAACTTAAGATATCGACAGAATAGCCAAAAAATTATAATTGAAAACTAATCAGGTCTGTGCATTGTTCTAGAGTATCTGTCTACCAAGTTTCATTGGAATGTAATGATTAGTACTTCAGTGGAAAAGCCAAATATTGTCTAATTATGCAAATTAGGTAATCAATGAACATGGATATTAACCCAAAACCTATCAGGTCTGTGCATTGTCCTAAAGCATCAGTATGAACCAAGTCTCATTGAATTCTGACCACTTATAAAGATATATATATTTAATATAATAAACAAATAAAAATGATAATCAATTGTTATTTGTCTATGTCTGGTTCAGACTTGTTTTGTACATCATTTTTGTAAAGCAGTGAGTCAAATGTTGGATTGGAATAGTTTATATATTTATTAAGCTAAAGTACTAGAATCATTAAAAAATAGAGAATTACAGAAATAAATGACATGACAGCATTCATAACTCCCTAATTCAAATGACAGCAAAATATTATACATAAACACCACAGACAAATATTCACAAATAATAAGCTTAAAAACAATAACAGAAACGTTTTAGAATAAAAAGACTATCAGACAAGTTCCTTTGGGAAAGGCAACAAGAATCTTAAGACAGAATTGATACAAAAGTGAAAAACACTTGTACCATACTTTCTTTTCACTTGATTTTCATCCAATATTATACAAGAAAGTATTTGTTCTGTTTTGCTCTTGAAAATAAAATACACTACTATGCTGCATTGTAATCAAATCTGTTTGTAAACAAACATAGCATGAAACATAAAACTTAAATGCTAGCATAATGTAAACCTTTTTAATTTTGAGATGTGAATGTTCTTCATAAAAAAAATTAAAGTAAATAGTTAGCAAAATTTTTTGTGATTCTTAAGACAAAGTCATAGTGACATTCGCTTGGATCCTGGGGGACACAGTGACTTTCTCTTGGATATTAGGGGGTCACAGTGAATTTAACTTGTATACTAGGTAGTCACAGTAAACTTTCACTGGGGTATGAGGGAGTCAATGATTGTTTTACTCAAAAATTTATATTGAAGAAAATAGTCATAATTTACAGTATCTAAAGAGGGGGGGGACCTCAAAAAAAAAAAATGAAAATCTCAATATTCACAATAAATGTTAAAACAAAATCTGATATATTCGAAGAAGTATATAATATATACAATGTATTTGCATTGATATGGCATGGATTTATATGCCCCAATATAGCCATGATAAACAAAACTGTGGAAATGTTGATTTGCGTGATTATGATATTCAAAAACATGGTACAATGAATAACTTTTTTTAATTTTTTTTTTCATTTGATTTCAAAGTGTGTAATTTACAAGATTCTATTGTACTAAGTGTGGCATTTACAAGATTATATTGTACTAAGTGTGGCGTTTACAAGATTCTATTGTACTAAGTGTGGCATTTACAAGATTCTATTGTACTAAGTGTGGCGTTTACAAGATTCTATTGTACTAAGTGTGGTGTTTACAAGATTCTATTGTACTGAGTGTGGCGTTTACAAGATTTTATTGTATTGAGTGTGGCGTTTACAAGATTCTATTGTACTGAGTGTGGCGTTTA